AGATGCCCTCCAAGACGGCCAAGATGGCCCCAAGATGCCTCCAAGATGGCCCAAGAGGCCTCCAAGACGTTCTCCAGGAGAGCCCGAAGAGGCCAAAATCATTGGTTTTCCTTAGGTTTTTGAAGGTTTTTTGCGTTTTCTTCTTTTCGGCCTTCCGACGGCCCAAGAGGCCCCCAAGATCGCCCAAGAGGCCTCCAAGAAGGCCCTATGACGGCCCAAGGGCCCCCCAAGACGGCCCCAAGAGCGCCCCAAGACGGCCCAAGAGGCCTCCAAGACGCCCAACATGGCCTCCAAGACGGCCCTGAAGCGCCCCAAGAGGGCCCCAAGACGGCCCAGAGAGGCCCCCAAGACGGCTCCAGACGGCGTCAGACGGACCAGGAACGCCCTAAGACGGCCAAAGAGACCCCCAGGAAGCCCCCAAAGGCCCCCAAGAGGCCCAAGGAGGCCCCCAAGATGCCTCCAAGAGGCCTCGAAGAGGCCCCCAAGAAGCCCCCAACAGACCCCAAGGGTGCCCCAAGAGACTCCTAACAACCCTCATCCTCCTACTCTATTTCTTCCTCTTCCTCTTCCTGTTCATAATCATTCTCTCCCATGTGTTCCCCGAAAGCTTTCCAAACCGACTCGGGGAACTCATGGTCCGATAGCTTGGCCAAGCTCTAGTCCAACTTTCGGCCACATCGGCGTTTCCAAAAAGGCAGGGGGCGGCGGTGATTCGCCGTAGGCGTCTTCGATCCGCCGCCCCCTTTTGATTTATCAAAAGGGGGCCCGGCGTGCCAGACTAGGCTTTTGGTTCTGGTTTTTTCCAGAAGAACTCCCCCTGGGGCTCCAGCCCGTCCCGCCGGCCACCCGGAAAGGCGCTCAAAACGCATCCGTCGTGCCTCTGTTTCCTCCAGTTGGCCCAAGATGGCGTCCAAGACGGCCAAGATGGCCCAGGATGGTCTCCAAGACGTCTCCAAGACGGCCCAAGACAGCCTCCAAGACGGCTAAGATGGCCCCAAGATGCCTCCAAGACGGCCCAAGATGTACCCAAGACGGCCCAAGATGGCCTCAAGATGGCCTGAAGATGGTCTACGACGGCCTCAAGCTGGCCCAAGACGGCCCAAGAGGCCTTCAGGAGGTCCTCCAGGAGGGCCCGAAGAGGCCAAAATCAGTGTTTTCCTTAGGTTTTTGAAGAATTTTGGAATTTGCTTCTTCTCTGCACTCCGACGGCCCAAGACGGCCCAAGAGGCCCCAAAGATCGCCCAAGAGGCCCCCAAGGAGGGCCCCATGATGGCCCAAGTGGCCCCCAAGACGGCCCCAAGAGGGCCCCAAGACGGCCCAAGAGGCCTCCAACACGCCCAAGATGGCTTCCAAGACGCCCAAGATGGCCTCCAAGACGGCCCCGAAGCGCCCCAAGAGGGCCCCAAGTCGGCCCAGAAAGGCCCCCAAGACAGCTCCCGACGGCGTCAGACGTGCCAGGAACCCACCAAGATGGCCTTAGTTGGCTCGAAGCTGGCCCAAGACGGCCCAAGAGGCCCCAAAGAGGGCCTCCAGGAAGGCCAGAAGAGGCCACAGACATTGATTTTCCTAAGGTGCTTGACGGATTTGTTGACATTTGCTCCTTTTCGGCCTTCCGACGGCCCGAGACGACCCAAGAGCCCAAAAAAATCACCGAAAGATCGCCCTAGAGGCCTCCAAGATGGCCCCGGAACGGCCCAAGAGCGCCCCAAGACGGCCCCAAGAGGCCCCCAAGACGGCACAGGAGGTCTTTTAGATGACCAAGATGGCCTCCAAGACGGCCCTGGAGCATTCCAAGAGCGCCCCAAGTCGGCCAATAGAGGCCCCCCAAACGGCTTCCGACGGCGTCAGTCGGACGGGGAGCCCACCAAGACGGCCGAGCATGGCCCTAAGATGGCCCAAGACGGCCAAGAGGCCTCCAAGAGGGCCTCCACAGAAGAAATTCAAGACAGTCCCAAGAGCGCCCAAGTATGCCCACAGGGTGTGCCAGGAGCGTTCCCAAAGACGATCGCTCGAGCTTCGCAGGGGCAAGGCTAATCCGCGCCGCCCCCGCTATTACTGGATTGCTTCTGTAAGTGCCTTGGGAGGGACCGACAGGTTCCCAAGAGACCCCTCACAGAACCCTCAGAGAGCTCTTCCGACATGGTTCAGGAGACCCCCAACAGAACCCCCAAAGAACCCTCAGAGAACCCTCAGGAGGCCTCCAAGAGGCTCCAAGAGGTACTTAAGATCACGAATGTCTGCATGGCTGTCTCACGATATGCTGGTAGATTTCCCTCCTCACGACTGCCCCAATGCCAATGGCTTTCCGCAACCCCCGGGACTATTGCTGTCCAAGACACATTGGACGCCGGTATGAGTGTGCGCATGGCGCACGCCCGAAGAGCACCTGCACAATCACAGTAAGAGTCAGGAAGCTGGGGCGACACCGGCCTACGAGGTACATACCTCGAGGACAACACGGCGGCAAGACCGGATGTCCTGCGCAGTTCGAGATCTTAGCCTCGATGTCTTCACCTCGAGGCCTCCGACCCCAGGACGTCACCGAGAGGCCTTAATTTCGTCAAGGACCGCCTAGAGGTCTTCACCTTGAGGGCTTCACCTCCAGGCCTTCACAATGATATGTTCACATCGAGGTTTGTACCTCCACGACCTCGAGTTCTTCACCTACTGTTGGCACAGCCCTAGCGCACCCCCGTCGCGAGGCATTTGCCTCAAGGACAGTCTGGCGACAAAGCCGGCGGTCCTGCACATTTTCACGTCTCTAAGGTTACCACGGTTCGTTTCCCGGCAGTCATGCATTTTCGCACGCCTCTCCGGCCACCACGGTCTGTATTCGTTTGGACGCTGGTTGGGGGCAGCGCTGAAGATCGCGTTTCCACAGCTTATGCACGCTTGCCCCCATCGTCGACAAGCAATTGCTTCCAGAACAAAGCCTTGCGGCAAGGCCGGCACTCCTGCAAACTGAGTCTGCACGCTACCACGCCCCATCTCTTCTTCAACGCTGGCTGGCCGAAGTGCCGCTTTTCGTGCAGATGCATATGATTGCTACAACCTTCGCGAAGCAGTTGCCTCGAGCACAATGCCCGGCAGCAAGGTCGGCGGTCTTGCGATCTCACGTGTCTTCGGTGACCACGGTTCTTCCCATCTTGGATGCTGGCTGGCGGCATGCCGGCTTTCCTGCATACATAGATACTGCACGAGTAACCCCCGTCGCGAGGCAGTGGCCTCAAGGACAAGGCCCAGCGGCAAGACGGACGGCCCTGCACACTCTCACGTCTCCATGGTTGCCAGGGCTCGTCTTTTTGGGGTGCGCTGGCTGGTGGCAGCCCGCAGCACTGGCGTTTGCGCATCCGCAAATTCTATGCGCTCAGCTACCCCCGTCGCGAGGCAGTGGCCTCAGGGACACAATCCGACGGCAAGGCCACCGGACATGCACGGTTTCGATTCCTGTTATTATTTCTTCCGTCGGGATTAACGCATGTTACCCCCGGGGGGTAACGGTGACGGCGGCCGCGGCGTGCACCCGCCAGGGCGGGCCCGCGCCACCAGCAAATCAACCGCCCGTGCGCACCACAACCCATGTGTACACGACAATGCCCAACGACTGCGTGCAACAACGCCACCTGTGTACACCACAACGCCTCCGTACACCACAGCAGTCGCGTGTACCACAGCACCACGTCGCCTGTGTACACCGCAGTTCCTGCGTACACTGCAGCAGCCGCGTGCGCAACAGCACTCGTTTACACCAGTGTCTGCGTGCGCCAGAATGCTTGTGCAAACCACAGCGCCTCCGTACACCACAGCAACCATTTCTGGGGGAGCAAAGCCCGAAGAGGACGGCGGTGACCGACGCCCCCTGCGCGCGCCACGGGCGCGCGGAGGCCCGCAGCCGCCGACGCGTGGGCCGTCGCGGCGCGGGCGGCGCGCTGGTGGCGCCGAAAAGGGCCAGCGCAGATAGCGCGGCCGCGGAGCGGGGGCGGCCGCGCCCAAGAAGCCTGGCGCCTCGCCAGCCGCCGCGTCGCCCGCGAGGCGCACCGAGCTGGTGGGGCGCAGGCCTCTGCGAAAACGGACGGCCCGAAGCCGACGGATGCGCCCCGCCTCGCCCCCGCGCGCGGGGCGCACTGGGATGCCAGGGCCTCGATGCTGCCGAGGCGTTCCCTGCCGTAGGCGCGGCACCGCGGGAGCGCGGCACCGCGCGCGCAGCAAGTAGCCGAAGGCGCGCTGCACGATGTGGCCGAGGACGTCGCGCGCCCGCGGCGGGCCCTCCTCGGCGGCGGGCTCGCCCACCGGGCACCGCTGGGGCCGCCGACGGCTGGCGCTGGTGGCGGCCGAGCCGTGGGGAGCGGGACCTCGCGGCCTCCTCCGAGGCCCGCTCGCTGGGAGGTGGCGGCCTATCCTCGCCACCCGTCGGCCCAGCGTCTCTTGTCGAGGCCAATGACGGACGAGGGTCGCTGGCCTGCTGCGCCGAGGCAAAGCCGCAGCCTGGCGTCGCCGCACGCCGCGATTGCCGCGCCCCGCAGACGAGAGCGCGACCGCGAGACTGATTGCCTTCAACATGCGGCTCCGCTGCTGGCGCCCTCTTCTTGGCGTTCGGTGGGCATCCAGCCAGGCTGGCCCCGACCTGGCCGCTGGCCGCGGCGGCGCCCTGGGCCGCGGTGGCCCCCGCGGGGGCGGGCGGCTGGCCCCCCGTGCTCGACGCGGGGCCCCGGCCGCGGGCCGAGCCAAGCGCGCCTGCGGTCGCGGGCGCCTGCCCCGCCGCACTCGGCGTGGGGTCCTGGCCCCGATCTGGGCCGAGCTCTCCTGGTCGGCTGTCGGCGCCGTCGGCAGCTGCAGCAGCCGCCACCGCCGCCACCGCAAGGGCCACGCCTGCTGCCAAGCTGGACGGCGCCGCCCCCTGGCCACCGAGGCGATCTTGGGGGCGCACGGGGTCCGATACAGCTCCTGCTTCGACCTCGCGGTGCGCGCCGCGCGCAGGCAGACCGCGCAGCGCCAGTGTCCCAAGGCGAGCGTGACGAACGAGTGCTCGGTGAGGCGGAGGCGGTCCTTGTTGGCCTCGTCGCGGGCCACGTAGCCGCGGGCGCTGTCGAGCCTGTCGGCAGCCGCGGGGGCACCTGCCGCGGCCACCCAGTGCGCGACGCCGTCGACGAAGAGCTGGGCGCGCAGCTGCCGCCGCCTCTCTGCCAAGGGAGCGCGCAGGTGGTCGGCCTCGCAGTTGCCACGGCGCTGCTTCCTCGCGATGATGTCGCGGGCGACGTGGGCGAGGGCGGCGTGGCCCTTGACCTCGACGATCGTGAGTCCCACAGGGCCGGCGCCGCCGAACTCGCGGAGCGCCTGCCACATCTGCCACCCGAGATGCCCCCACGCAGAAGACGCCAGCGTTGCGCGGGCCTCGCCCCGAAGGCCGATGCCGTCGACGACGAAGCTGACGTCGCAGTACATCTCGATGGGCGGGATGGCGCGCCGCAGGACGATGAGCGCCGACAGCAGCTCCGCGCCCTCGATGCTCTGTCAGCCAGAGGCGCGCCCAGCGACTTGGCGCGGCTGCCAGCGCCTGGGTCGACTTCCTCAGGGCCTGGAAGAAGCTCGACGACCGCTGTCGCGGCCTGCGCACCACGGCCTTCGGCAAGCTGCGCGTCACACAGCGAGCCGTCGCAGTGGAGTGGCTGGCCGACGATGGGCTCGCCTGGCTCGCCGCAGCACCAGCGGAGGCAGTCGAGGGGGCCGCCGCTGGGAGGCCCCCACTGGAGCCACGGGGCTGGAAAGAGGACGCGCTCGACGAGGTACTTCACGACCACGTTATCCTTCTGCGGCAGCAGCAAGGCGATCTCGCGCGGAAGGCCGAGGCCGCGGTCCTGAATGGCGCCGCAGCAGAGGTGCCTGTGCCAGACGTCCCCGACCTGGTTGGGGCAGAGCTCGCAGGAGTCCGAGGGTGCGCACCTCGGGTTGCTGTCGTACTTCCTGGCGTTGGTCCACTGGCCGTCGACGATGCAGGACCTGAGGTAGCCGCGCTGCTTGCTGTTGAGGCCGGGCCAGCTCCGTGCTTCCTGGGAGGCGCCACGGCCGCTAGCCGCCCACCGCCGAAGCTGGCCGAAATTGATGCCGACGTCGAGCCAGGAGGCGTCGTGCTGGCTGAGATGTTTGGCCTGCCAGTGCTCGCAGCTGCGGCCCAGCAGCTTCTTGGTGAGCCACGGGCTGGCGTCGCTGACGCCGCGGTGGAAGCCGTCGCGCGCGGCCCACGCGCCCAGCGAAACCGCCTCCCAGCCCACGCGGCGCATCGAGAGGAGAGCCCCCACGGGGCCGCGGCAGTCGGCCCAGCTGCCCGAAGCGGCAAGGGCAGCCGCGAAGACTTTGTCCAGGGCCTGCCTGGGGAGCCACTGCTCCCAGACGGCCCTGTGCAGCATGCGCACTGGGTCGCACGTCGCCTTGAACACGGGGTCGCAGCCCCCGCCGATGGTGGCGAAGGCGGCGGCGCGGCTCTTGCCAGACGGTCTGATCTCGACCGACTTGAACGCCAGCGCGCGCGCGACGTTGAGGTCGGCGTCGCTGGGCCCCGCGCAGCAGACGCGTTAGGCGAAGCTGGCCTCGACGCCCTGCTTGAAGATCCCCGCCGCGACATGGCGGCGGCGCCATGGGCCCAAGGGCCCCCCGAGGCGAAGAACCCGCCGCGCGGCCTGCTCGAGGGAAAGCCAACGGGCGAGCCTGGGCGCCCGCCCAGCCAGGGCGTAGCTCACCCCAAGGTTGCCGGCGGCCCCCACTGGCCGCGCCTTGGCTGCCTGCGCCAGGCGGTCGAGCGCAGCGACCGCCGCGGGCGCGTCGGCCAGCCGGAGCGACTTCTTGGTGGCGACGTGGATGTCCACCGCGCGCAGCTCGCCGACGACGCTGGCGACGCTGGCGACGAGGTCGTCGGTCACGCGCCTGCTGCCCCCAACCCGCTGGGAGACCAGGTCGCCGACCACGACCGACGGGGGGGTGCTCGGCGAGGCTCGCAGGGCGCGGTCGAGCGGGCTGAGGAGGATGAGCTTCATGAAGAAGGCGGCCCACATGTCCCCAGCGAGGACCGTCTGCTGCACCTCGACGAGGTCCGAGACCGCGCCGTTGGGCCCCAGCGCCCGCGGCAACCGGTAGAAGGAAATTTGGAGCTTCACCGCCCAGACAGGAGAGTCGTGCTGCACGGCGGCGTCGATGAGGCGCCGACGCCGCAGCTGCTCGAAGGCCTTCCACGAGTCGAGAATGGCCGCCGCCGAGCTCCAGTCAAGGTCGGGACTCTTGACGCGCTCGGCCTCGAGCCGCTCGCTCCAGGCCAGCTGCTGCCAGGCCGCGCGCTCGCAGGCCTTGCCTGCGCAGGCCCACCAGAACGCCCCGGGGCGGGTCCCCTCCCAGGCGGCCGCGACGTCTCGCCGCAAGCGCCCGCGGACGCGGACCAGGGCGGCGAGGAGGGCGATGGGCCTTGCACCTCCCTCCCTCCTGCTGATAAACACGGGCTTGCTGATGAAGGGGGGCCCGCAGCACTCCCGCTCGACCCCCATGGGCAGGTCGATGTCGGCCTCGACGCCGCTGTCGTCGAGGGCGTCGAAGTCGCGGGGGCGAACGCGTCGAAGCTCGCGCCCGCGGCGGCGGCGAAGCTGCGGAAGACCTCGCGCACGCGGGCGACGGCAGGCCGCGGAGGCCGCTCGCCGAGGTCGGCGGGCCACCGCAGCGGCGCCACGGGGGCGCCGGCGTTCCAGCAGCGCGTCCACTCCTTGACGAGCAGCTCGACGCAGGTCTGCTGGTCGGCAAGGATCGGCAGCGGCGGCCCGTCCTCGCCGTCGGGCGCGTCGGCGGCCAGCGGGCGAGGGTGCCAAGGCATGGGCTCGCGCGTGAATGCGCGCAGCCCCTTGCCGCCCAGCGCGCGCTGCTGGTCGATCCAGTTGCCGAAGCGCACCCCCGCCAACTTCACGGCGCCCTCGATGCACTGCTTGGAGATGGCGCCGACGAGCTCCGCGAGGCACCCTGCAGAAGGCACGTCGAAGGAGTCGAAGACGCTGCCGATGAGCGTCAACGCCTTGCGCATGTTGAGCCGCTGGTGGTCGGCAATGTCCACTGCAGTGTTGGGCGGCAGCCTGGAGCTGAGCCTGCGCGGGCTGAGCAGCCCGTCGAGGCGCGAGCGCGCGGCGCTCAGCGAGGCGGCCCCGCGCGCCTCGAACACCCACTGGCAGATCCACCGCGTGCTGGAATCTAGCTCGAGGTGCCTGGGGGGGTTGGGCTTGCTGGCGAGCACCCACTGCCGCGTGGGCGGCCCCTCCCTGCCGCGGCGATTGCTGCCCTGCTCGCTGAGGCCGCACCGATCGATCAAGACCGTCTCTGTCATGATGACCTCCTTCCAAGCCTCGCCCACAAAGGCAGCGCTGGCCATCCTGGAGCGGACGTCGGCCCAGGCTGGCTCGTAGTCCTGGGAGCAGCAGCCCAGGGGGAGCGGCCGCGGGAGAAGGCTCGGGCGCCCGCGTGACCTGGATCCAGGGCTGGACCCTCTGGGCGGCGACCTCGAGGAGAACTGGCCGACGCGGCCCGAAGTCCCAATCGAGAAGAGCGGCGGCGGTGGCCGGGGCGAGGCACGGCGAGACCACGAAGAAGTCGATCACGCGCTCCGAGGGCCCGATGGCGCCGACCGCGGGCTGATGACCACACCGCAAATCTGCCCGATCCGCGGCGTCATATTGAAGTCGCCGCCGATGACGAAGGGGAGGCCGAGGCTCTGCACGGCCGACCTCACCGCGTCCAGGATGAGGGGGGTGGCGGCCGAGAGGCCCTCGGCGGCGTGGAGGTACACGTTGATCCACGCGAAGCCCCCTCTGATGACGCCACTCTGGTGCGCGATGGCAGCACGGCCTGGGACGAGCACGCCGCTGCGCAGCCCGTCCACCTCGAAGCACCCGGGGCCGTGGCGCCCGGGGGCGAGGCTGAGCAGGCCTCCATGGCCTGGGCGGCCGCCGTCCGCGTCGGTGGCGGGGGCGGCGAGGGCCTGCCAGCCCCGGCGGCCCAGTCGAGCTGCAACCTCGGCAGCGCGATCGGTGGAGAGGTGAGACTCGCGGGCGGCGACGAAGTCGCACTGCCTGAGGTCCTCCTTGCACAGAAGCTCGCCCAGCATGGCGACCGCGTTCGCATTCAAGGAAAGACCACGCCAGACGCTGCCGTTGGCTGGCTGCCCCCTCTGGGGGGCGGCGGGTGCTGCAGCCGCGGGGGGCGCTGCAACTGCTGCTGGGCCGTCGGCGGAGCCTGCGGGTCCAGGGCCGCCGCGAAACTCCCTGCCGACGTGCTCACGCATGAAGGCCATCGCGTCGCCGAGCCGCTCGCGCTCTTCACCGTCAGCAGTGAGAGCAAGAAGGCCAACAGGGTCTGCCGCTGACAGGACCGCCCTGAAGCGGATTGCGTCCACCTCGGGTTTGAACCCGACCTGCGCCACTGCTGGTGGGACCGCGGGCTGCTGCGGCTGGGCAGCCGCCCCTCCTCCTGTCGGGCCCACGTCGCCCGCGTCGCCCATGGGCACGTCGGCGGAGGCGGCAGCTGGCGGCGCAGCTTGGCGAAGGCCGCGTCCTGCTCGAGGAGTTCCTTGACGAGGGCGGCGGGGTTTTTGTCCGAGGTGCGGAGGGCGGTGACCTTCTCGAGCAGCTCCTCCGCGGGGGGCTGGGCCGCGCCAGGGCCTCCTCGCGCGACTCGCGGAGGGCGCGGACGAACGCTTGCTGGGCGTCCAGCTTGAGCAGGCGGTCCGTGAGGTCGGCCGCCATGCGCTGTTCCTTGCCCTCCTCCGCCTTGAGCTTCTTGCCGACGCGTTCGACCTCCGTGGTGGCCTCGCGGGCGGCGCAGAGGCCGCTGGCACGGGCAGCCCTCCTGGTCCTCGACCTTGTCGACCTGCGCCTGCGTGAAAACCTCCGTGGCGGCATCCCACTTCTCGGCTGGCATTTCGACCGCGCGCTGGAGCTGCTTGTCGTCCACGCGCGGCGGGTGCCAAGCGTTGGTTGTGGGGCGCTGACCGTCGGCACTCCGAACCCACGGCGCCGAGGGTCTGCGACCTCCTTGGCCGCCGCCGCCCCCGCCCGAGCCGCCGCCGTTGCCGCTCCCTCCGCGGCGGCGACCCTGCGACCAGCATCGCCAGGGCCGCCCCAAGGCACCGCACCCACCGCACTTCCAGAAAAACATCGTTGGCCAAATGTCCTGCTGCAAAACTGGGGGGCGCGACGCCACTCGGCAGCGCGCAGCTCGACCGAGGCAACAACTGCAAGGTACGGCCGCGGACTAGCGGTATCCACGTCGTCGCCTCGCGGGAGACGTGGCATCTTGAGCCAAAATGGCTACGGAGTACACCACAGCAATCATGTGCACCGCAGCGCCTGTGTACAATAGAATGCGGAGGGGGAGTTGGAAGCAGGCGGGAAAGGAGGTATGGGAGGCGGGAGGTGGGAGAAGGTAGGAAGACGTTGGACGTCGGCTGCGCGGTAAGTCTGTGCCGTGACGCCTTGGAAATCGTTTTCTGACATCGCGTGTATCTATCTGAACGACCTACGCAACCGGAAGCTCTCAGCTAAATCTTGCATCATGATTTCGCACCGCGAGTTCGAGTCTGAGAATCCTGGTACACGAAAGCCCTCCCTCCCTGGGCGCGTCGCAACCTTGAAAGCCCGCGCTGGGGTCGCCACGGCGCCTTCTGTGTTCCAGCGAACTGTCTGCGGCCAGAGGCAACAACGAACAACAACAACCACTTCCTACTCCCCATCCGCCTCCTCCTCATCCTGCCCTCCTCCTCTGATATCCTACTGCTGCACCGCAACGCATGCGTACACCACACCGCCTGCGTACACAACAACAGCCGAATGCACCACAGCACCTGTGTAAACCAGTGCTTGCGTGCATGACAATGCGTGTGCACACCGCAGCAACCATGTGCACAGCAGCGTACGCGTACGCCACACATGCCTGCGTGCATCACAGCGCCCGTGTACACCACAGTGAACTGCCCCTGCGTGCGCGTCGACGAGTGCGTGCGCCAGAGCGCCTATGCTCTCCGAACAGTGTCTTTTGCAAGCTGAACGGATTCACGCTTGTGGCCAGAGGAGTTACAATTACGGGGGGGTGGCTGGGGGGGGGGTAACACGTGTTGCCCCCTAGGGCCTGTAAAGAACAGTCAAGATTCCAGCTCTCGTGCATCCACGGATTCTGCGCGCGTGCCTTCGGCGTGAGGCAGTTGCCTCAAGGACACAGTGTGGCGGCAAAGCTGGCAGTCCTGCACACTATCGCGTCGCTCGCGTTGCTACGGTCCGGCTGCCTTGCGGCATTCCCAGCTTGTATACCCGCAGATTATGCACGCTTGCCCTCGACGCGAGGCAGCTGTCTCAAGGGCACACACCGGCGGCAAGGCAAACGGACCTGCACACTCTCACATCTATCCGAAACCAAGGTTCATCTCTTTTTGGTGGCTGGCTGGAGGCAACGCCAGCTTTCGCGCATCCACAGATTACGCGCGCTCACCCACGTCGTGAGGCAGCTGCCTAAGGGCGCAGCCAGGCGACAAGCCAGCGGTCCTGTGCACTCACCGAAAACCCTCCAATCATGCTTTGTTGCTTGGCACGTCCTCTCGTCATGAGAACTGTCATGGAATGGAGACGAATTTTGAAAAATCATGGAATGACGATATCGAGTGTCGCCGAGGGTTTTCAGAAACTGTTAACCCAACCAGCGTTAGGGCACGAGTTGTTTAACGAGCTGTGTATTATCTCCCCCTCTTTCCCCTGCTCGGGGGATG